ACACATAAGGGCCCATTTTTCAATTTCAATAGATAGTACAACCATGAATTGGTTTTTGACTAGTAGTAAAGGGTACAACCTCTTCTAATGTACTAAAAGACACTACTACGCCTACTTTGATTAGATACTTTATTTCTACATTTGACAACCTAAACTTTTAAGCCATGCCTTCTTTCTAGATGTTCCATAGGAAATTTTTGTTTTCAATATTTTTATAATCTACGATGCAAACTCTTTTCCATTACTATGTCACGACTGTACATTCGAAAACTCAACGGAGGGCTTATACCATATAATCTCGTAGTTGTTGCCATGACATATCCTCGTCCCCAATCACGTCCATTTCGGTGGCAATTTCATCAAACTCTTCTGGTACATCTACCTTAACTTCCTCGCCGTCAACTTTCTCCGCTCTACGATAGCCTTCATCAAGCCATTTGTGTTAACTCAAAAAATTATGAAAGCCCATTGTTGCCACGACGATAACAGCAGTTTACGCTATGAACAAGTAGCTAGGCATTCGATCAAGTATTTTCTATCTTTAGTTCCAAAATGAGTGATAAAAATTGAATCACTCACGCTCATTTGGGAAGCGTCGTCGACCATCATTGATGTTCCAAAATTCTTGAAAGTGATATAGTACATCAGATCCTTTGTATGGAGCCATGCATCTAGGTTGGTGGGCAAAACCCAAGTTGACTAAGTAGTATTTCATGTTCCTTAGTTCAAGGAAATTTACATCCGGACTATAGATACATCGAGCCAAAAGACGGTTTTCGTTCGTGTTCTCCGTAGTTTTCAAGCATTACAAACGTGAAACAGAAGTTAAAATCACAAGCTATTTTGCATCGAAAATCCTTTTTTTCTAATGAACTTCTTTTATACTGCGGCAGCATAGCACGAACATGCGTGCCATCAATTCTTGTAACATGATTCATGTTAGCATTCACAATAAACCAATCAGTAGACTACGCACAGGGTAATTGATTCTCATTATGTGACAACAAGTTTTAACTTGAAACGATGGATACTGTGCAGGATTGAGGAGGTGATGTCGTACGCCTCCGTTGTAGTCGTGATGCGCTTTAACCATATCGACAGCTAACACAACAACTTGAAGCACACACTTAAAGTAATGTGAAATGGTTTGTAGAAAATGCCTAAAAAGCATTTGTACCTGCCGATAGGCCTTGTCGTGTGCTAAAATGCAGAGGAACATAACTACATGTTCATATATATTCGATGTTCACACTGCTCGCCAAGCCGTACTGGTCTCGAAGACTATGCGTAAAGTGCCTAAACAAGGGAAAATACATTCGGAACTCCTGAAAACATGTTTGAGGGTACACGTGCATATTTTGTAGTATGAAAATATGGCAGATACATAATGTAGGAAATAAGTATCAATGGCCCCTGTTCGATGAAATGTATTCTCACACAATGAATCTGACGATTCAACAATAGTCTAGCCATGCCAGTATATCATCATCCAGCTATTGCAAGACCTCGTCATCCAATCCTTCTTTTGAATCAGACATAGAAATGAAGCTACAATCTATTTAGGATGATGCACCATCACTAGACTCGTCGGTCATTTACACGAATGAAAATCGACATGCCCAAAAAAAAAAAGCAAATGTGAGAAACAGAAATTGCACGTGGCATAGAAGAAATATTATGACAATAATGTTGGATTTTTTACCATGTTAATACAATACAGTATTGGTTTATTTTGTACGACTCCCAACTTCATGCGTTTGTAGAAATATGAAAACCTTTTTATAGACATAAGAATGCAAAAAAGGTATGTACTTGGCTATACCTACTAGTCACTTCACTGTCTTACTTGTTGTTAAAGGGAAAGGAAATTTGAAAGGGATTATATTCTCCGCATAGTGCAGGAAATATATTCCATCCACACACTAGTCACTTCACTGTACTACTTGTTAAAAGGAAGTGAAATTTGAAAGGGTATTATATTCTCCGCATAGTGTAGGGAATATATTCCATCTACACACTACTTTCCACTATGTAACAGTGAATGTATGAATAAAATATAGAACTTTAATAGAAAAACATGTGTTCAATGCCAAGTAAATCTCAACAAAGAGAAAAGAAAATTGTCTGAAATATATTAACACATACGAAGATCAACAACAACATAAACAAACATCAACAATATGAAATGGAATTACAATTTTCGTCGAGCCCTCAATGGCTTCACGAAGCTCGTTTTCTTGTCCCATTTGAATAAGTACTCAATCCACGTAAGCCTAAGTTCTGGTATTTGAGTGGAACTTTATGCAATTCAATTTTCAGAGTCTCGAAAAAACCACAAAGCAAACAAATGCAAATTGTAATCTCTCTCAACGAGGCCAATCAAAAGCAAGTCATTCACGCACTTTGAAATTGTCATCAGACCCTTGTCTCTAGACCGAAGGACCGAGGCAAATGTTCTTGACGTAGTTGCCAAGTTATCAACAACCTCCAAAACCTCAATTGCACTGAACTTCTTCTTTCCCTTTTCCTTCACTTGCTTTCCTTTATGCTTTTCCCACTTCGATCGAGGGAAATATTTATCAACAAGTTTGTTATGCCGACTGCAGGCTCGTCACTTGAATCCTTCGTCTTAGCTTTGATCGGCAACTTGTCATTCTGATCATCAGTGTCGCTGTCCCAGCTCAAATCAAAACTACACTGCAAAAGTTTAGTCGATGTTAAAGCACATTTCGTAGAGTCATGACTGTCACCAAATAATCGACTATAAGTGTGGTAAATTTCTCTGTTGTTATTGTCTTTGAACTTTCCATACTTTGGGTTCTTCTTCACGTATTCAAGTAGAAAATTTCAAGAACAAATTTACAGTAACACAGAATCAGGCCGACGAAATAAAAAATCATAAAAACTATCATGCTAGATACATTCAATCTATAGCATCACCACAGTAATATCGAAAATAGTGTCTAGGAAGAAAGCCAGAAAACAAAGTCATGAAACTACAAGTTACGAATACATCCAGCCATTGGTTTAAATTTTAAAGTTCTAATTGTCACAACAAGACGATTGTTCATAGTGCAACTCAAATAATCACAGCAAAAGGCCACAAAATTAATCACTATATTACGACTTCAATACAGTTTTCATATATAGAGCACGAGATGATATTTATTGAAATGTAGGCAAACAGGGCAGCCAAAATACATTGATGCGGTCGCAACACGAAATTCAGCCTCATATGCCAAAAATAACAAGGTACAAATGTAAATGCCATATCATGTTACCTTCAGTTTCTGCTCCCACCACCAATTGGCTACTTCAATTTTGCATCTGTTGCTCAGACCGTATTAAATCCTAGAGCATTGGAACAACTCAAATAGAAGGTTGTAATCCGTTCGCATAACGGCCTAGAGGTTCTTCAGCTGGATGATCGTCCAATCCTTCCCGACGATTTTGTTAAACAAATCACAAATGTGCTCCAAGCCGGTAGTCGAGAAACACTTTCACCGATGATGTCTCTCATCCGTAACGTGCTCTGCCTCAGTGATGAAAATATTGTGTTCTCGGGGATCCCACTTTGCAAACTTGTGAGTCTCTATTTTCCTTTCGGACTGATGGGTATGAGATGCAACTGACATTGGGTCAATAACATGGGTCGTGTAGATCTGAAAAACATCAAAAAATTTCTCAGCATACTGCCCTTAAACATGGATGTAGGTAAAATAAACGCATATGAAGGCATCCTCACACATTTTGAGTCTTTAACACACGAGATCTACACAAGATCTAAATATGAAACAGTCGAGCAGAATCTTGCCATGGTTTGTGGATAGTAGCCCCACTGCTAGCCTTCGTTGTCCATACCGTATCAGCCTGAGTTTTAGGTGGAGAAGACGAAAGAAGGTGTCTATCGTTGAAGCATTATCTTATCTCATCATGTGTATATAAATCATTATATACATGTAGCACAATCGATGTTTTAGTTTGATACAAAGGAAGAAAACTGTGCACTCTTATTACTGCATTTGAATTTAATTTAGCAAATCATTTATTTTGAGCAATATAATTAATTTGTATTCATATCAACAATTTAATAATTGCCCTAGGACCATAACCAAACCAGATAGTAAGTCAAGAAGTAGCTGCACCATCATTGTGATGCCCCTCAAAATAGATAGCAACTGTATTCATCCGCTCACTCCTCACCGCCCTCAATAAATGGGAATATCTCTTCTAGAGGCATAAAGTGAAATATGTCCACCATTTTATTTTTTGGAACTTTTTGCAAATATGTATTTTCTATCTGAAAGTGTTATCAAATTTCTTCTTCCTTTTTTTTTGTACGTATTGTATTTCAAACTATCTTTGTGGTATTTTTGTTAAAATAAGCAAAGTTACAAGAACGTCAGAAGTCTATTTAGACACTTTCTCTTTACATGAAGTTTGAATCATCTACCGTCATTATCCTCATGACTCGAATCTTTCTAATCAACTTTGTCTATATTTAATTATTGATCCTTTAAAGTAGTGCACAGTCAATTGCATAATTGAACTATCACAATTAATAAAAAAATTGTCTTGCTAGAAAATTTTCATGAATTTCAATAACAACTGAAACACATTCTCTCATCTTTATATTGCCAACTCCAAAGGAACTAAACTACAAAAGCCATAGAGAAAAGAAATAATCTTTTTAATTAATTAATATTATAGCCTAACAAACAGTCTTGTGGAATGTAAAGACCGTGAATGAACTTGCAAGTCCAAAAAAGTAATTATAATATGTCCAATCTTAATTTCTATTCTTTTCATGCATGTATAAACACCAAGTCACTGACTTTGGAGCCACTTTCTCTATTTAAATGCAGTCTTTGTCTAAATTCAACAAGAAAGCAAGCGTTACGTGAGCCCCACCTTTATTTCCTCCTTAAAAATCCAACTCCTCTTGCCTCTCCATTCTTCATTTCTTCTCTACCTCTGCAACTTCTTCTCTTTCCAAAATAATGCTTCCACAAATAGTTCTCTCTCTTTTCTGCTCATTTTTATCCTTTCATCTTGTACTTTCTCGTTCTCTACTATCACAAAGTTATCAAGTACTCGAAGTCTCCGCCACATTGCAGCAAGCAGTTGAAGTCCTTTCTGCAGAGAGTAAAACTTCCGAATATGGACAACTCGTTACTTCATCTTCATCGTCACCGTCACCGTCACCCTCTTCTTTCTCACTCTCTCTCCACCCTCGATCCTCTTTGCTAAAATCTATTCACAACCATAATTACACGTCCCTCACTCTCTCCCGACTAGCTCGGGACTCATCCCGCGTCAATTCCCTCAACTCTCACCACCAGCTCACCCTCTCCGGCTTCTCACGCTCGGATTTCAAGCCGGTCTATGACACTGTCGTCCAACCCGAAGATCTCCAGTCCCCCGTGACCTCGGGAACAAGACAAGGCAGCGGAGAGTACTTCACCCGGATCGGGGTTGGCCAACCCGTTAAGGAATTCTACATGGTAATTGACACTGGCAGTGACATCAGCTGGCTCCAGTGTGAGCCATGCCACGACTGCTACCAGCAAATTGACCCGGTATTCAATCCGTCGGGTTCCTCTACCTACAAGGCCCTCACATGTCAGGCACCGCAGTGCACGAGTCTTGAAGTCTCGGCCTGTCGTACCGATACATGCCTTTATCAGGTGTCCTACGGGGACGGGTCATATACTGTAGGGGACTTCGTCACTGAAACAGTGTCATTTGGGAGCTCGGGATCTGTCCCTAACGTGGCGCTCGGATGTGGCCATGAAAACGAAGGTTTGTTCATCGGCGCTGCTGGTTTGCTGGGCCTTGGCGGCGGCTCCTTGTCTTTACCTTCTCAAATCAAAGCCACTTCCTTTTCATACTGTTTAGTAGACAGGGACGCCAATTCAGCTTCGACTCTAGAGTTTAACTCGGCCAGACCCGGCGACTCAGTACTCGCGCCGCTGCTCACGAATTCGAGAATCGGCACATTTTTCTACGTGGGCCTCACCGGACTGAGCGTCGGCGGACAGATGCTGCAAATCCCAACATCCACTTTCGAGATTGACAGGAACGGAAGGGGTGGGATCATTGTAGACTCCGGTACGGCGGTGACTCGGTTGCAGACGGAGGCGTACAACGCACTGCGAGACACATTCGTTAAACTGAGTCAGCACTTGCCCTCATCCAGCAGCTTCTCGTTGTTCGACACGTGTTACGACTTATCTTCAATGACAAAAGTGAGTGTGCCGACGGTGGCGTTCCATTTTTCTGGCGGAAAAACGCTGCAATTGCATCCTAATAATTACTTAATTCCGGTGGATTCCGGCGGAAAGTTCTGCCTTGCTTTTGCTGCGAATTCAGGTTCACTGTCTATCATCGGTAATATTCAACAGCAGGGGACACGTGTAAGTTACGATCTGGCTAATAAAGTTGTTGGATTCAGCCCAAATAAATGTTAACTGGTTGGAAGTAGCGTTAGGTATGGTTTAAATGGAGCGATTAATACACCTTGTTTTCCTACACAAGTGATATTTCCATCTTTACTACGTTAACTTTTGTTATCCTTTATGGAACAACATTATCTCGTAATAATATAATTTAGTACAAGTGGTGTTAGAGTACTGGTTTAAGTGATTATACTTTATTAATTTAATTAAATAGTTATGTTACTTTACATTTAAATAAATCATTCATTTAGACCATATTTGACATTTTTCAATAAAATAATTCCATACGTTAATAAAAAAATTTATTAATGTTGTAATCCAAAGGATAATGTTTGGCCACAGGAACAGGTGAGATATTAATGTTGTAATCGAAAGGGTGGTCCCACCCTTGAAATAATTGTAACGAAGTCTTTTGGCTTGTAGGAATCTTGAGGGACCCTATGACTTTCATTCACCTACCTTTCCAAAAAATAAGGGTGTATTTGATTCATATTATTTTAAAATAATAAATTGATAGAGAATATGTGGTTAAGAAAAAAAGAAAAATTATTGATGTGATGAAAAATATTATTTTATTAAAAAATTTGTAGTTGAAAATGAGTAAAAAAATGAGAATGAAAATTTTAATATGACTCAAGCAAGGTTAAATAAAGAAAATGATGTTAGTCCCACCTTGAAGTTGATTGTTTAAAAAATGATTATGTAAAAAAGGGTTTTTTTTTTTTCTTGAAAATTGTGTGATTAAATATTGGAAAATTTATGAAAAAATTCTTTTTAGAAGAATATGTTGTCCAAAATATTTATATTTTGAAAAAGTCAATTTCAAACAAGGGCTGCCACAAATATTTGTATTCTAATTTTTATACCCATTTCGTCTACATTTCCTTCTAATATTGTAATTTTCAAAATCAAACATTAATTTTAATCACATATTTTATAAGATAAATAAGCATTATTCACTTATCAATCATCCAAGATAACATATTGATTTTTAAATAATGTCGGCACAATTATTTGAGACGCAAAGATGTAACCCCAATTCTTTAGCCCATGGTGGGCCCTGTTGTACTTGATATTATTCATGCTCAAAAGCATTTTTAAATTAATATACTTTAAAAGTGAGATATTTATATTGAGAAATGCTATTAATCCCCATTGGGAATACATTCCCAATCTATGTGACGTTAATGTGATATTAAATGATAGGTGAAATTAAATAAGTCATCTAATTTCACCTATCATTTAACCAATCATTTACATCCACATAGACTGGAGATGCATCCCCACTGAGGATGAATAGTATTTTTCATTTATATTTTGAAAAGTTAAACCTCGAAATTAAGTTTCAATAAATTCTTTATTTTACTTTTTAAATATAGAGAGTGTTTTTGACTTTTTACATTTAAATAGCTACTCTCATTCTCTATTTGTGTTTTATCATAATTGAGCCCATCTGACAATCATTATTTTAAAAAAAAAATTATATATATATATATATATTGTTCTGAATAGTTTTTTTTTTTTTAGGAAAATGTGTGATTAAGAAGTATGTGTATAATATTTTATTGCGTAAATGTATGGTTCAAAATAAGTATGTAAAAACATAGTTTCAAATGATGATTGTCTAGCTTAATAAAATGGCAAGGTTTCAATACTTCACAACTAAATTTCATATCACGATGAATATTTATACAAGTTTAATCTAAGAAAATTATATATTAATTAAAAAATGGACCAGAACAAGAAATAATTGTTTGAAAAAGTAAAATAAAGAGTTTATTTGAATGTATAAAAGTTTCACTTTTTGAATATAAATATGCTATCTATTATAATCAAGATAATCTTTAAAAATAAAGAATTTCTTTGAAATGCTCTAACTATGTCGATTGATTCACATGGTCTATATTGAGTTTATAGTTTCATATTTAACTTCTATTTTAAGTTTCATTATTCAATAAAATGAAATTGAAGAGAAAGGTGGAAAATATAAATTATGACGATTGTATTATTACTTTCGCAAATTTCCCAACAGCACCAATAAGAAGTAAAATACAAATAAGAATTAGGTCATTCAATCTCATATTGCAAGAAGTCCAGAATTTTCGGTGGTAGTGCCCAAGCAAAAATGGTTGAAAAGTCTATAGTTTAAAAGATAGTGATAGAACTCGAAATCTGAGGAGCTAATCCAAAATCACCTACTCGATTGCAGCCAAATTCAAAAAAACAAACAAAAAACAACTATTTATTTATTGACCATCTAACATTAATCTTTCTTCGAAAGAGTAAGATAGTTGATCGAGAAACCTTCGTCCAAAGATGCTTTAAGTAGTAACTAATAACTTGTTTGGCATCTATTTAATTTAAAAACTTAATCTGTTAATTTTTATTAACATATTTCGTATGATTCACAAGTAATATTAATTTATCTATTACTCAATTTTATCTAATAATAATTTAAATCAATTATAAACTATTCCTAAACAAGTGCTCAAGGTTATTATTCTAAAATTTATAATCAACCACAAATTGGAGATTATTATAAAGATCTATGAAGTTGGAGAGAAATATTATGTGTGGATGTTGACCTCAAAAAGTAGATAGTATTCCATAAGTTCAACTATATAATTTTTTTTTCTCTTCATTTCACTAGAATTCTTCCTACTAAAATTTATGTCTTCGAATCCCCACCTTTCTTAATTGTGCAATCACATATTTATAGGAAATTGATAAGGATATTTTTGGTCATTATGATTTGAAATTCTTCTTTATTTTGTTGAAAATCATGATTAAGTCCTCAATTTCAAAGCTTATTTATATTTATATTTTCATGACATTTATTAAATAACAGTCTTTTTCCGCAAAAATATGGTGGGCATTAAGGCCTATTTGTCAGAGTTTGCCTGGAGATGAGCATCGTCCATGTCTGAGGCTATCTGAGGCTTCTCTAGTCAACAGTTCCGTTCTCCTGCACGCCACATGCAAGAGAAAGGAATGCCCTTTGCCTTGCCAAAAGGCAAGGCAAAGCCATGTGAACTAATGTTGTCAGCCTCAATTTTCACACTTCATATACATTTCACAATTATTTCTGAGGTTTGTTTATATCTTTCTATTGAATTTACTAAGAAGTCTTTTTTTTTTACATGTGTTGTGTTATATGCATTATAAAATTGTTTAATTTCGTGACATGGTTTTAATTTTATTTTTGTTACATTTGCAGTAGGTTTTAAACATGTCAACGTTTAAATTATTTCACAAACTAAATAATTTTTCATATTAATTTTGAGGAATGGAAGGGGATGACAATGTATTTATTCCACAAGTGACTGTTGGTGCGATTCCGATATTCGGGCAATAATTTCAAACGCTTGATGATGTGTATAATTTTTCCAATGAGTATACGAAATTAGCTGGTTTTAGCATATGTATTGGTAGTAGCTGAAAGAACCCACAGACAAATGAGCTTATCTAGAAGTCGTATGTTTGCTTTAAACATGGTCAAAAAGATGAGTCCTATAAGATGAAACTCAAAAATTTGGTGGCCCGTTCTGGTGAACAAAAGCGTAGGAACTCACGTTGTGGATGTGATGCAAAGTTAACAGTGATAAAACGTCAGACAACTTCTATGTGGGTTGTAAGCAATTTGTCGAAGGGCATAATCATGCACTATCTAAACCAAGCAAAATGCACCTACTACGTTCACATAGACATGTTTCTGCAACCAAAAAAGCGATTCTTGACCAATATTCACAGGCCAATATTCCTAGCTGTCAACAGATCAGACTTATGGAGATAGATGCTGGTGGGCCTTCTTCATTGAGCTGTAATGAGCAAGATATCAGGAACCATTGACGAGATCGACAACAAGAAGCCATTGGACGTAATGCAGAAACATTGATTGCGCATTTCGAGTTGGAAAAAAGAAGGAGTCCTAGCTTCTACTACGCTTATGAGACTGACGAGGATGGTGTGTTCGCTCGTTGTTTCTGGGCTGATGCAGAGTCCATGAGTTCTTATGTTTACTTTGGAGATGCTGTCGTTTTCGACACAACATATAACACAAACAAGTATTCGATGGTGTT